TGGTGAGGTGGCACAGGATGGTGAGGTGGGCACGGGGTGGTGAGGTGGGCACGGGGTGGTGAGGTGGGCACAGGCAGGTTCCCCTGCTGATCCCGTTGCTCTCTCCCCTCCCCAGCTGCAGGAATACTACAAGAAGCAGCAGGAGCAGCTTCACCTGCAGCTGCTGACCCAGCAGCAAGCCGGAAAGCAGCAACCCAAAGAGGTGAGCTCACCTGGAGGGCACCAGCACAGAATAAGGTGTGGGGCAACCCCCAGGGAGCCCATGGCAATGGACATGGGACGTGCTGCTCTGATGTCTCCCAGTCCAGTCACTGGGAGTTGCTGTTCTTCCTCTTTTTTTTTTACTTGCCCCTCTCTCTTGCCAAAATGCTTCACAAGGGGTTTTTTGCTGTGGAGAATTCTGCAATTTCACATGGAGGATTCTGCAATCTTGCAGAATTCACCTCTGGCGTTGCTGCCCCTCCCCTGAGTGTCCTTCCATGGGCTCCAAGTGACAAGAGATCTGTTCCTGAGCCACTCCCTCCACGTCCCTGCAACACTGGGGCTCTTTGTGGCCATCACTCCTCCCAAAATCCAGCACCCTGGTGCACACCCAGCACTTGAAACTCAATTTTTTGGCAGGGAGAGAAGATTTAAGGCCCAGGCTGTGTGTTGGGGTGGCACAACTGGCAAAGCCACGCTGGCACCACGGGGGCTGCAGTGGCTCAGGGTCCCCTTCTCCAGGCTCTCACTGTGGGCTGTGGGTGAATTTCCAGGTCAGGGTTATCAGAACCATCTCCAGGAGCTGCTGGTGCTCGGGGAAATGGGGGAGGTGTAAATGTGAGCTTCCTCAAGGACTTTCCTGCTGGCCCTGGTGATGTTCTCTTGCAGCACCGAGCAGGGATATAATTAAGCTCTAACAAAGCGCTTGCTTAGCGGGCTCTGCTTTAAAAAGCTTGTGTTAACTTTTAATTAAATGGTACAGAGGAGATGGGAAATTTATCCAACAAGAAAGGGTGTAGCAGTGGGGGGAAGGGGTGTTGGATGCTGCTGGAGGGGTGTGTGTCCAGCTTTCCTGCTGGGAAAAGCACTGAGGGGATCTCAGCAAGGGCATGTCAGTGTTTGCCTTCCTCAAAATCCTTGGATAAGCTTTGGTTTCACCCCAAAAATTTGGGTGGGTGGTGTTCCTAAAGTCTGTGTTGATGTTTGCCTGCTGGGAATGGTGATGCTGTGGCATCCCTGACACTCAGGGAAGAGCTGGAGTGTCTGGGAGGCCTCCACAGAGCCGCCCTTGGATCTTTCCTGGAAACCCATAGCTGGATTTAATTCCGGTTCTGCTGCAGGATTTGTAAACCAAACACCTTCTGCTTGCCCTCTGCCTGATTCCAGGGGCTCCTCTCTGTGAGTCAGCAGGCTCAGAGTGGGATCTGCAGGTGGGAAGGACACCAGGAAGGAGCTGGGAGCAGGGGCAGCATTTCCAGGGAGAGCAGCTCTGATATCCCTGGGAGCAGGGGCAGAATTTCCAGGAGGAACAGCTCTGATGTCCCTGGGAGCAAGGGCAGAATCTCTGAGGGGAGCAGCTCTGGTTTCATCACGATCAGGGGCAGAATCTTTGGGAGGAACAGCTCTGATATCTCCAGGAGCAAGGGCAGAATCTCTGGGAGGAACAGCTCTATTCTCCCCAGGAGCAGGGGCAGAATCTCCAAGAGGAGCAGCTCTGGTCTCATCACGATCGGGGCAGAATCTTTGGGAGGAACAGCTCTGATATCTCCAGGAGCAAGGGCAGAATCTCTGGGAGGAGCAGCTCTATTCTCCCCAGAAGCAGGGGCAGAATCTCTGAGGGGAGCAGCTCTGGTCTCACCATGATCAGGGGCAGAATCTCCAAGAGGAGCAGCTCTGATATTCCCTGGGGAGTGCCCCAGAGAAGGGAAGGACAGACAAGAGGAATGAAATGTGTGGAAAGAGCCTGTCAGCAGCATCCTGTCCCTAAGGATGCTCCGTGTCCATGGGTGCTGTGCCACACTGGGGCCATGAGGAAGGGCCACAGCAAGGCAGCTGATCCATGAATCCATGCATCCCACCGGGATGGGGCTGAGCTGTGGCACATCCCAGCCCTTCCTACAGCATTTTCCTGTGCTGGGGTGTGAGGGCCACCCCTCAGGCTCCAGCAGCATCCTGGAGTGTGGGATGAACAAGGAGCTGAGCTCATGTCTCCCATCCTGCTCCTCCCAGGATGCTTGGAGGAGCCACGGGGTGCAGAGACCCCCAAATCCCCCGGGAAGCTCCCAGTGTGTCCCCAGAGCTGCCGAGGGCAGGGGTTGTCCCTGTGCTGAGGCAGGCAGGGCGGGGAGGGGGAGCTGCTGCCTCCTAACCCCGGTGTCAGCTTAATGAAGTGCTGCTGTCAGTCCCGCGTGTCACGGCGCAAACTCCTCCTGATGTGCTCATAAATCAAAGTGACGGCGCCTCCTGCCCCGCTGGCTGCACCCGCTCAGCTGCGGCTAATGCACGGGGATGCTGCAGACCCCCACCCCACGCCGGGAATGGGCTGGGAATGGGCTGGGAAAGGGCTAGGAATGAACTGGGGGAACCAAGCCTGGTGATGCTGCAGACCCTCAGCCCCAAACCGGGAATGAGCTGGGAATGAGCTGGGAAAGGGCTGGGAATGGGCTGGGAGAGCCAGGCCTTGGATTCGAATGGGCTGGGAATGAGCTGGGGGAGCCAAACCTCAGTGGTGCTGCAGACCCCCAGCCCCACGCCAGGAATGGGCTGGGAGAGCTAAGACTTGGATT